TTCACCTGAAGTCAACTTTGAATTGTAACATACCGAGTAAGATTGCAGAAAAGGGATCTCAAATAATTCCCTTTTTAGTTTGCCAAAGTGTGATAAAAGTGCATCCTTTTTTAAAAGCATGAGCTGCTTTCAAAGTACTTTCAATTGTAGAGCTGGCAATTCTGTCCTGTTGTTGCACACTCCATCCTGTATTGAAAGTATTCTCAATTTCTTAGATGATGATATGACAGTTAAAGGAAATGCGGCATTTCTTTTTAAACATGGCTTTCTTCACTCTGTTTGCAATGGGGCAGTTTTGTTGTAAATGTCACAGTTAAATTGTTATCTCGGGTAATTTTTCTTTTTCTTTTGTTTTTTGGTATGGTAATGTATTCTAATAAAGTTGAAACAAAGGAAAAATGAAAATTACCTGAGATGAAAAATTAACCACAACATAAACATTACAACAGATGTAGGTTATTTTGTTTTTAGGTGTGCTTTGGATATGGGAGCAGTGTTTGGAAGGTAAGAAAGTTAAACAAAGTGAAAAACCCTTGGCTGTACATGTACACTTATAATTTTCATTAGATTTGAACTTGAGGCCCAGAATTTTTTTTTGAGTGAGGTTGTCCAAAGTTATGTTATATTGCAAGTGAATTAGCCTATACAAATATTGTTTTGCCACAATACATGAGATACATGTATATATTTTACAGTGTTCCAGACAAGAGGTGGGTCTCAGGTCAACGACTCAACAAAGAAGGCTTCCCGACCTGAGGGATGACATATAAGACAGTGTTAAGTTAAATATAGCGAAAAAAATTAGTATGTGGCCTTGGTGACCCCACAGATGGTCTACATGACCCCCTGCTTGAACTGGAATGCTGATCTTACACTGCATAGCTAATACACCTATTAATGTAAACCTCTGGGAGTGAGGGGTGTGTGGGCAAAGGGTGGTGATTTGATCAAAAAGTAAAAATTTTGGTCAATTTCCCGAGGGTGGCGAGGAATACATTCATCAAATAGCGCTAAAAATCCACACCCAGGGGCCTATACCTTTTGTGATGAATGTGAAAAACCTGATTTAACCTGCCTTCCCTATGAGGCAACATGATGTTGACCCTGCGGAGGCAGTTACAGTTGAGGGGCGAATAGGTTAAAGGTTGGATTTGAAGAGGATTTGCTGACAAAGGTGTTTTTAAGGTTGCGCAACAGCAGGGTGGTACAGTGATAGTAGTTTTATTAGAAAAGGCAGAGTTTTTTCACACTTTATTGTTTTGCGGTATATAACACCAAGGGTTGTCACTAAGATTTCAAGTTGCCGGGTAAATACAACAAGTAGGCGGGGAATCAAACGGCTAGGGATTTCTTTTGGTTCTATTTTTCTTCTATTTCCCAATAAAAGTAGCCGGGGGCCACTCTCTTAGTAGCTGGGGAAAATCCCCAGCCCCCGGCTCTTAATGACAACCCTGAACACCAACTTTTGTTCAGCAGATTTAACCTAGGAGGTAATTTTTTTCCATGAGGTTTTTTCTAGCGTGTAGTCTCTAGCAGAGAGGTGTGTCTCATTGAATGATTTTACTGAAGAATTTGTTCTAAGAAGTCTAAGGGCTTCGCCTTTTGATGAGACCTTTTCTGCAGTCTTTATTCTTGCACTTACTCAAGGTCCAAAATCCACTTGTGAGATTTGGAGTTGCACTATGACTGGTCTACATTTTATTTTGTAACCACTATTTCAAGCTGATTTTCAAAGGGCAAGAATGTGTGAAGAAGCCCTTAGAAAATCTGCTTGGGAGGCTAAGTAAATCCAAGGCCAGAATAGCACTGAACCAAGAGGGTCATTTTTAATAAAAATTAATCCTCAAAATCACTGTTTTTTATAGCTGATTAAACTGTTTTAGATGTACAATGTACAAATCCATCTGGAAAGTTATAAAAGACCTTGAAAAAATCTCTTAATACAGTGAACCATCATCTAAACATTGTCAGGTTATGATGTTCTTCTCTCTTTCAGTCCATTGTCTACTATGTGTTGGCTTTCTGCAGTGGAGGGTTTCTACTTCTTGTCTCTTACTGGCGTCCAGATTGGGCTTTAAAGATGAAGTGTTCTCCATGCCCTCTGAATAATGCTACATATGTCCTCTTAAAGGTAATTATTTTAATATTTAGTGCAACTTAACATACATTTGTGTCAATGTTCAATTAAGAATCTGCAAATCAGACAACTTTGTGTGTACAATAATTTGTATGCTTGTAATTATTGTACTGTAAGTTGTTGTGATGGTCAATGGTAAGGTAACAAGCATATTATTTTACCTAGTAAAAATAATTATGATGATAATAATAATCTAATTTGTCATTCAGTATTTCTGGCTCGAGAGTAATCGCAAGTGTAAAATTTGAAAACTGTTTTGATGATTTTTTGCTGAGTTGTTATCTGCAAGATACGTGTATCATATTTTTTTAGTATGTTTTATTTTGTCCATCATTGTATTTTGGCAGACATCCCATGGTGATTGGTGTGTAGAAAAAGTGAAAGTTGTAAGGTACGTGTTTAAACCCCAGTAACCCTTGAATTTAGCCACCAATGTTTTCATATTGAGGGAGTTTGTGTAAACAGTTTGAGTGCAGAAAATGTTTTTGAATTTGCCACATTGTGATCTTTTGAGCATTCTATGAAGATTACTTGAAATTTTAGCAGCATTTTATCATAATATTGATGTGATGAAGTATATAAATGAATAAATTAATAAATAAATGTGATTATTATCCAGCTTCACTCAATAGAGTACAAATAACACTCCAAATGAGTACAAATATTTCACGGTATTTTCTACTTCAGAAAACCGGTTTGACTGGTTTTCTAATGTCACACATGGCCAAAAATGCCTTTCGTTTTCCCAAGGTCATAAAAGAGGAGCCAGATTGTACATGTAAGCTTAGAAACAACCGAGTTCCTGGAGTAAAGTCTCCTGAACAGCATGTACAGCTGTAATGTCAACAATTTTATTGAAAAAATCAAGACATACAAAATTAACAAGCTCAAAATACAACAGAGAAGGTGAAAAAAGGCTTGAAGGTGAAAAAAGACCTGAATTTGTATTCGTCTGCAATAGATGTTGACAATCCATGGAACAAATAGCGTCCATAAAATACATGTACAACATGGCCCATTAAGTGACAGAACAGTCTTCGTAATTTTCTAGTTCTTTTTAAATGCGAATAAAGTCAACATGGTAGACTCTAGATGTTCTCTAAAGACTTTTGCTAGACAAGTATTAATCCCGGCAAAGATGCAGAAGATGAAGGGTTGTCCAATACTGTCAACATGATACCAGTGGACAGAGTAAACTGTTGTTTGCACCAATGCATCTCATTAAGGACACTTAGAAATTTGTCGCTGGTCATGTTAGCAAGAGACCCTGTTCAATGGTAGTCGAGTTGTATGAGTCATACAAGTGGAGAAAGTGCTTGTCCACTCGACAGAGTAAACTGTTGAGTTGACAAATGCACCTCATTCAGGGAGGGCCCTTGTTTGTTTGCGTGGCTTATGTCAGATCTTTGCTTAAACAACGAGGCATACGCAGTGTACAGGGTGCTTTTTCCTTCAATTGACTTATGTCGGATCTTTGCTTAAAGAACAAGGCATATGCAGTGTGCAGGGTGCTTGTTCCTTGACGTGACTTATGTCGGATCTTTGCTTAAAGAACGAGGCATACACAGTGTGTAGGGTGCTTGTTCCCTGTGTGGCTTATGTCAGATCTTTGCTTAAAGAACGAGGCAAATGCAGTGTGCAGGGTACTTGTTCCTTTGCGTGGCTTATGTTGGATCTTTGATTTAGTGAACTGATGAGATCCATTTTCCACTCGACAACTCTCTGTCAAGTGGAGACAAGTTGTCAGCTTGTACGTCTAGACAACTTAGATGCTGTCCCTTGTCAACTAATGAGATGCATTTTCGACTCGAAAACTCTGCATTTCAAGTTGGGACAACTTGTGCACTTTACAAACTGTGAAAAGTATTTTTCCACTGGTATCATGTCGACAGTATTGGACATGACTGAGGAGGTGAGGTTTCAAGTCTGTTGTTTACGAGTAGCCCTTTGAAACTCCTTGAATTTGTGGGAGGTTTTTCTTCTTTCCCTCAATATTTGTTCTCTTTAGTTTTTCTACCCGCAGTCGGTTTTATGTAAAAACCAACAAAAATGTAAACTATCAAAAAGTCGCACAGGAGAGGTGCTGACTGCTTTCTTTTATTTGAAGGTAGCAGAGAACGCACAATTAAACAACAACCAAGCACTGAGTCGCTTTTACAGAAAGCATGCATGTGTTTTTCCAACCTAATCCTATGCTATATATCCGCCACGAAATCTCCCATTACACTATCCCCCCAATAATGAAAGGAATCCTCTGATTCACGACCACTCCAAGAAATAAACAAAAGGAAGTTAATCAGCTTTGTCTATTAACAAAAACTCTTAAAAAGTTTATCTCACTGAATTCAAAGTCCCCACAGTGTTACGTTCTAGCCTCCTCCAGCAATTTTGGTTTCGGGTTCTTTATCCTCTCCTTGTCCTTTCTTTGCTCGTCCTCCTACATCTTTAGTCGGTCTGATATCTAGAATCCACTCACCATAATGGTTTGGAGGTTTTCTCATGCATACTGGGCTTTAGCCCTGACCAGCTGGCTGTTCTTCTTTGGCTTCGTGGTCATCTTCTCTTCTCTCCTCCCTGCTCGTGCCACCATTTTGAACATTGTTTGCCAGTCCACCTCCCTCCATTGTTGATATATCTACTACATGTACCTGATCATGTTCACTGCAGTGTCCGAGTTCTCCCACTTAAGCCAAGCAAGGAAGGACCGATACTCACTCTCGCCTGGTATGTTAACATCCTCACCGGGAAGCTCGTCGTTGGCTCCAACCCTGGTAACCTCTTCTTCTATTGTGCTAATCATCGTATCAGGCTCTACTGACTCCAGTTCACCCAACTTTAGTAGTACCCATTTATGGTCCTTACTCCCACCTTGGGGAGCATCCTCCATGCTCTCTTCCTGCCTTTCCTTGTACAACCACAGGTTGTTGAAATGAACTGCTTGAGGATCTCTTTTGGAATGCCCGCCAACTTTCCTCACCCGATACGTAATGTCCATGACGCACTCCGCTATTTCAAATGGTCCCTCCCTCTGTAGATGGAATCTGTTTGCTTCACCCAGTTTAGGCTGTGGAGTGTAGCATAGCACTAAAATCACCAGTTTGGAGTGCCTTGTGTTTCATGCTCCCTTCATAATATGCATCTTTCTGACGACACTGAGCTACTTGCAGACTTTGCCATCTTACCCTTAGCTGACAATGTACCTTTTGCTGACTGTTGGAAAAGTACTCCTTCCCGTAGCTCTAACAGTTCCTACTGTACCCAGACTTTCCTTTTTGCTCGGCTCATGGGTTGGAGCTACTTACCAGGTAGCCTGGGATCAGTCTCCACATTGCAAGCTGAGAGGTAGTCTCGGGAGGGGAAAGTGTGGCGGAGCCTGGAGACATGCCTTTGATGCCACGGATCGGCCCTCCAGCAATTAACTTGTTATTGAATTATCAACACATCAAATTCTCATCACGGATGTCAGCGTGAGCTTATTATGTCCCTTTTGTAAAAAATATTTGAATTTGAGATGAAGTAAGAGTGCAAGCAAAAAGATTTACTTAACTTTGATCACCAAGTAGAGGAACACCAGCTTTGGCAAAGAGAAATAAAGAGGTTTCAGAGGAAAATTCACCATTTTCAACTAGTGAAAAACAGCTGAATAAATTCTCAAGGAGATCCCTCAAGTTCACAGTTTGCACATAATGCTTGTTGACATTGCTTCTTATAATGTACCAGACGAAATATTGCTAATGGCAGAGTTTATATTCAGTTCTGTGGAGGAAAAATGTGTAAGTTTAGCACTTTATGCGACAGACTACATGTATTCAGTTTAAGTGTATTCCTGTTGCATTTGTTGTCCACTTTATAACGTATGTCTGCTCAAAATCGTGTAAAAGTCAGTAATAATCATTTTCCCTGATTTTCTTCAATCGCTGTTATCTTTGTACTAGCCTGCTAGCAGAGGTTTCTCTCTTGCATGTATGGCTTTTAGTATTTACGAAGTTGTTCATGTCACTTGTCAGTTGCGTATGGTTTGTTGACTACCAACCGACATGCAACACAAACTACTTTGCAAACGCTAGCTGAAAGCCATGCAAGAGAGAAACAACTGCCTGCTTCGTACAGTTGTGGTTTACTTGTTCTCGGAGCACAAGGCTTAGCTGATTTTTGTGTTTTATCATGCTTTTCATAGGAGCGTGATTATAATGTGTGCCTTTTGAACATCAGTCTATACGTAAATCGTTTTGTAAATGTTAACTGTAGTTTATCTCAGGAGAGTATAAGAAAAGCTTGATATTTTAAATGCTGCTTTTTCTTTTTGCAACATGTCACAGGCATATTTTTTGCTTTTCTTGGAGCGGAGGGATAAGCAAAAAGTCTCGCAAGGAAATTTGTATTGCTTGCTTGAAGTTCGTATTTTAAAAAAACTTTTCCATAACTGTCAGTAGGAACATGATATTTAAAGAGTGCGATACTGTCAACTGCACCGTGAATCTGTCAACGTGAAGACATTTGACCAATCAGAGCATGATACCAGAATCTGGTATCATGGAACGGCAGCACCAAAGGCATGTCTCCAGGCTCCACTGCTCTTCCCCCTCCCCAACGCTCTGCTAGGCTCACTTTGCTTGCCGATATTTTTCCTATTTGACCCCACTTTTTGCCTTTTCCCCCTCTGTGGAACCTGGTCCCAGGCTTCTTATCAGGTGGTTTCTTCCGTTCCCGTGACAGCCGATCTACAACTGCGCCTATATTAGGATCTTGGCCTTGAGCTTGGGACACAAGTCATTCTTGGGCGACCACACATTCTTTACTTCCTTCCTTGGTTTACCACTGTGCAGCCTGCTGATGACTGTTGGCACCATACCTGTGGTGTTGCAGGAGGAACACTGAAGGGGCATTTTCTATGATTGCACCTCAGGATAAACTGTCTGCATTGCTATTTTGCTTTCCTGGCTGGTGTTGGATCTCACAATGGGCATTCACTGAAGGCATTCCAGCCAACATGCTACCTGTCCTGGGGGCTCTTTAAAGAATATCAACCATTGTAATGAGTGACTGTCAGTTTGTAAACAAAACTTCCACCTTGATAAATAGTTTCTGAAGTAGTCAGTGTAAGGACTTCACCAAAGCAAGCATTTCCAATCAAGTGGTGCAACTCGACACTTGGACTCTTGCCCTCCAGAAGACACGTGGGATGGCGTGATTCTGTGGGTGTTGAGAGTTCTGGGTCAGGACTTAAAATCAGAGTGCACAGATATTTTTCAACAGAGTTCTCTCTGATTGTTGCGTCATGACTAGCCCCAAGAAGTTCTTTTGGTGTCATGTTGATGTCTTGCAGGGTTACTTTTCACGTAGTACGATCAGCATGGCAGTATTCTGCTTGCAGAATTTAATATGTCCAGTTTTTTTCATGTTCATTCAAGGAAGACTACTATAAGCAATCACCCGCTTAGTACCATCCTGTTGCTGCAAGACAAAACTGCCCTTGTTCTAGGTAGTGGCTTGCATCAGTATCAAGTATGAAAGATCTTGCTGAGGGCCCGAAATTTTAATAAGCCAGTACTGGCTCGCTTACCAGGTAATCTTTCAGCTAGTCAAATGCAGCTTGTTGTTCCTGTTGCCAACAAAACGGTACATTCTTCTTACACAGTTTGTAGAGGGGCTCAGCAAAAATGAAAAATGCAAGGATGAACTTTCTGTAATAGCCATTAAGACCAAGGAAGCTTTGAAGGTCTTTCACATTCAGTGGTAATGGTCATCTTTTGACGGCTTGTCTTCATTCTGTCAGATGAAACAACATGACTTAGAAAAGTAACTTCTCTTCTAAGGAAGTGACACTTGGTAGGCGTCAGTTTCAAACCAGCAGTCCTTTTACGATTAAACACTAACCCTAGACAGTGAATGTGTTCTTCAAAGATTTGGGCCCAGATGATGATATCATCCAAATGCACTATGCAGTGTGTCCAGGTAAGGCCATTGAGCACCAGATTAATTAATCGAGTGAAGCTAGCAGGTCCATTAATTTTGTCAATCCGAAAGGCATTACTCTTATTATTTTATTTATATAACAGCTTCTCTGGACACAGGCCTGCCCTGAGGGAATGTGCATGAACATCCCTACCCAATCCCACAAGCCATAAAGGTTGGCCACACCACAGGGGTTTACGACCCCTACTCTTTTTTGATAGTGTCGTTGCTTGTTTTATGTCCCTCAAAAACAAATCAGGGAAAGTGCTGTGAGATGGGACCTACGGTTTTTCTTCCTTATCCGAGAAAACTAAAAAGTATAATGATTTCCAGATGTCATTACATCGGCAGCACTGACTTGGTCCGGCCGGGCGTTTGAACCTGCGATTTCCTGCTTGGTAGACCGGTGCTCTCCCAACTGAGCTAATAAGGTGGCAGTCATAAATGTCCCTGATGAGTTGAGAAGGCAGTCTTACAGTGTAGGCCCATCCTCTTCTTTCATTTGCATCTGCCACATCGAGGCCAAAAAAACACTGAGCCCCACCCAAGGTGTCTTACACGTCATCTGTCCAAGGTAGCTGGTATTATGACATCCTTCTTTGTCAACTGGTTAAGTTCACGGTAGTCAATGCACATACGGTATGTTCAGTCATGTTTCTTAGCAAGTACAACTGTACTGCCCCAAGGACGTTGAGATTGCTCAATCTTGCCTGTAGTTTATAACACTTCCAGCTGTTCATCGATAACTTATTGCTGATAGGGTGGTACTCAATGAGGATGCTGTTTCATTGGCTTGCAATTACTGGTGTCAATTTCATGTTCTAAGAGATCTGTTTTTTCTAAATCAGAGCTGTCTCTTGCAAAGATGTCCTCACATTCCATTACCTGGGACAAAAACTGCTCTTTTTGGTCTTCCGAAAGCTCTTCTAGGTCACCTCATAATATTATTTTGACTTCCACATTTTGTCCTGTTTTCGCTTCTCCCTTTTTGCCACTGGTTTGTTAATATGGAAAGAGATGATTGAGGAACATTAGTTGAATCTGGATCTGCTTACAATGAAACAACACGGCCATTCCTACTACTGACAGGATGATATTCGGCAACATCTGCCTGTCGTCTAATAAGCCTGTCTGAGAAGTTAGCAACTCAAACTAGAGTTAGTCCATCTCTGGGGGTAACTAAGGCCACAATTACTGTGACATAGATTCCAGAGGCTGATGTTGCTGACAGTACTTATTAACAAAAGCAGGGTTGGTTACCTCATTATTGGTGACTACTATCACTTGGGTCACTGCTCCAGTCAGGGCAGTTTTGAGCGAGATGGCCAGGTTCACGCGAAGCAAAACATACCACATTGTTAAGGGGCTGTCGTTTCAGCTTTTTGTTTCAGCTTACGAATTTTTTCATTCATACCAAGAATGAGTTCCAGTTGAGCACTCAGATCTCAGGTGAAATTTTCTCCCTCTCTGCTGAAGCACTCACAATATTCACAGACTTTTTCTTCTCAGCAGATGCCACAGCCTGACAAGCTTTATGAGCACTTTCTGATCGATGAACAACACGGACAGCCTCCACCAGGGAATCCAGTTGACTCATGAATACTTTTTCCCATTCTTGGTGTCTGGTCTCTTGCTAGTTCCACCTTGAATGATTACACTATGGCTGGGCATTTTCCACCAATTCCAGGACACTATGGGCAAACACTTTAAAATCCTTTGACACCTAGCCCACAACTGCAGTTTATAATCTCCCTTTGTTTTGCCCAAATCAAATCTATCAACTAGCTTTGCCGCGAATTCTTCAAAGGTTAGCAATTCTGAAAGCTTTAAAAGCTCAACTGCTTTAATTTGTTAGTTGGTTGATCCAACTAGGTGAGCAAATATGCCCATTGATCTGAGGGTTTGATGTGTAGCAGATTTGCATACTGAAGAAACTTCAACAGCCATGTTTTGAAATTTTTACCCACATGCAGTGCTTGAACATTCCCCTTGGATTCTGTTTCAGTAGAAACTGCCATGCTCTGCTTCAAGGCCTGGGATAAGGTATTCCCCAGCCATTGAATTTTTGAGCTCTCCTCCTGTGATGAACTTGTTTGTGGTTTCTTGGGTTGGTGTTTTGGTGCAGTTTTTTGCTGGAGGACAGTCTCACTCATTTCTGCTTAAATCTCAGTCCGCTGCCACCAATGTAATAAACGTTGCACAAGAGAGATCCTGACTGTTTTGTTTTATTTGTAGGTAGCCAAGAACATGCCATTAAACAACGACCAAGCACTGAGGCTTTACAGAAAACATGCACATGTTTTTCCAACCTAATCCTATACCATATATCTGGCACGAAATGTCTAATTGCAAAACATATGCCTCCAATTTTTTTGTCATTCCATCTCCATTTTCCTAGCAAACAAGTGTGTGAAAGAAAACTTCTCAAAACTTGTGTTTTACCAAGTAAACATGTTTGACAAGTTTTCAATTCTGTCCAGTCAGCAACAATATTGTATCAAGTGCCTGAAAACTGCACTTGTAGGGCCACAGGAGTCACATTAGTCTGTCACACATTCTCTTCGCTATCAGTGTGACTCGCAAAAATATCCCACGATATTTAACACACTAAACCATCCAATAAGATATATAATTTCATTTTCCTACTATAGATCATCTTTAGGACTGAGTGTTGATGATTTTGTTGAAGATGAGGCTCCCAGTTGTCCTGCTGAAACAGAGGTTGGTCGATTGTCTTATTTTACAATCGTTACACTAATAGTCAACTGGTCAAATCTTAAAATGTTAGTACACGAAAGTGCACTTCACATCTGTCCAATTTTTGATAGCAATGGTTGTGAAGGACAATATTTTTGTAGCTAGGATGTGACTTCTTAAAAGTCATTGTAAAATTTATTACCTATTTTTGAAAGGTTATGATAAATCAGTGTGTAGCATTTCAGTCACATAACTGTACACCTCTGTAACCCCAATGCATGTTCAACTTATAAAATAACTGGTTGATGAATTATTTAACAGTACAATAAATGTTGTATTGACTTTTGAAGCAAATCCCTGCTCAGCTAATTATAATCCATTATTTTTTTTATTCAGTTTATTTGTTTTATTCACAATGAACAGTGGAACCCCTATTTTATGATATGGCAAGGGGACAGTAAAATCATAATATCATTAAAATCAGAATATTGTTGTAAGTGAGTTTCAGATTTTGCAATTTGGCAGCAAAATAAATAGAAAGATGGTTTTATCAAAATTAATATTTCTAGTTTTATTGCAACACAGTGCAGGAAAATGAGTCACAAATGCAGCAATCAAAATGCATCGTCATGTCCTTCCTCAGTTTGTTTAGTTTTTAGTGTAGTTGCGAGGTGTTTTTCTCTCTTTTACTCTGTGACATTAGTAAATTGTATCTTTGTGAAGAGAAGAACTTGGTGCTTGGGTCGATAGATGTTTTCGTATTACTGGGAATACTGTTCTACCAAATATTGTTAAATCAGGATTCTTCTCCATACAATTTACTGTAACTTTTGTCAGGACATAGAATGTTGATCATTTAATCGGGAATATCATTAAATTGACCATTGCAAAATTGGTGTTCCACAGTACAATGTATTGGTTTCTTTCACAAGTACAATGAAATATTAAATTCAGTCTGTAAGGTCTTGATGGCTTAAACCTTTGGCTCGTGACTGTAAATGCCCATAAATATCTCCCACTATTTTGTTCCTACTTCTGATCTGAAAAACTTTTGATGTCAGTCTATGATGTATTACTTTTATGTATAATTTCTTCTGGCTGTCTCAAAAAATCCCCACATCACCAAGTTTCTTTAAATGTCACTCTCACTGACGATTTTTCAGTCCGAATTCTCTCAGACATTTCCAGTTCGATTTCCCTTTTCCATCTGATTCCTGTCTGCCTTGTTTTAGTATTTTAATTATTATTAATGCTCTTTTTCGGTATGTTGTGCATCTTGTATTGTTCAAATTTCCCACATGACGTAGTTGGCAATAGTTGTAGAGAATCCACATGCAACGTCAATTACCTTGAATTGATTTATCTTTCGTCATTTTGCAGTCACTCAGTAATGAATGGAACATTTCATTTTAGTTAGGACACAGACCAGAGTTATTGTAAATGTGCATTTGGTGAACGAATTTGATTTCTGAAATTCCTTGACTGACACCCCTATAGTTCATGCATGGTAAACAAATAAATTTATCACCAGATACAGATAAAATGTTATGTGGCCTCTGAGAAAAGGAAATGTTTAATTTGATAATGTTGATAGATTAAGCATTACGTTTACGGCAAAAGGTAAATGTGAATTTTTTTCCATTTACTTATCATTTACTCTTCATTAGAACCACGCGAAATTTGGTAGATTAATGCCAATTCTAGCCATAATAATAACATTGTTTTGAGCTGTTTTTATCTGCTCATTTCTTATTATGAAAATTTCTCAACTTGAATCTCACATTTGCCAAAAATGCAATGCTTAATCTCTCTATTAACATTGCTCTGTTTGGCATTGTTTTTTTCTTAATGTTTATTTAGAGACTCCTTGGGATTACGAATACAAATTGTCAGGTGAGTCTCATCAATAATTATTCATAACTAGTCTTTGGAGCTAATGGGCAGTAATTGTATCGTTATCTTGTAATTAACAAGATTGTGGCAATTCCCCAGGATCCTAATTAAAAATGAATACTGACTGCCTTTACCTAAAGCCCCTGTTGTGATGCAGTAATGCTTGAACGTGCAGTTTTCTCTGCGCAATTTCTGATTATGATTCCTGCGTCCTCTCAATTACCTTTTATAGGGCTGTACTTAGGCCTGGGGGTTGGGCATTGACAGCTATGAGGCTTTTATTTCTTCATATGGGGTTTTAGGAGGATTTATAAATGGAAGGGGGGGCTTACGTCTGAGGGGACCTGTAACTGGAATAGTAAAAGCACTTCAAATAAGCTGCAGTAATGCTGATCAAAATACGTTTTGCATTTACTAGAGTTTAGTTAACCTTCAAAATAAATAAATCAAACGTAAATCGAAATAAATCGAATTGATTTCAATACAAGGTAGAGGGGGCTTATAATCAGATGTATTTTGTGTACAGGTAGATGAGCCTGTCACTAGAGGAGGGGGGTTAAATTCGAACCAAACGAAGGTTACAACTAGAACTGAACAACATAAGCTACAAAATGAGAGAATAAATCATAAGATTATGAAATCGAGGAGCACATTTAATCCCCTAGAGAATGTCATATGATCTTAATCAACGAATCACATTACATGATTAAATTATTCCTCCAACACTCCCACTTGATAAGCGTGTTATGTGTATCCTCTAAGATAAACAGCAAAAAATAACAATCAATATTCTAGCAGGCATAAATGTTCAACAAGTTTCTGAGTTTTTGAAAACGATCTCTAGCAAGTCCCTTTGACATGATGTCTGCCAACATATCATTCGCTGGACAATAAATAACTTTAAATTTATTTGAGGCTATTCTTTGACGAGTAAAGTGAAATGCGACATCAATGTACTTTGTTCTGTTATGGAATCTTGGGTTCCTTGATAACTCTATGGCACCTTGATTGTCTTCCTTCAGCACTGTGGGTGAGTCTGCTTTACAACCAAGATCAGCCAATAGCTTTCGTAAGTAGGTTGCTCCCTGTGTAGCTTGACTCAAGGCAACTTATTCTGCCTCTGTAGTGGATGTAATGACTGCAGCCTGTTTCTTGCTACACCAGCTGACTGTGGAATTGGCGACTTTGAAAACATACCCAGAAGTAGACTGTCAATTGTCTGCATCCCCTGCCCAATCATCATCGGAAAAACCATACAAATCACACTCATCATCATTCACTGAAAATTTTAGACTATAACTTATTGTTCCTTTGATGTATCTGAGCATTCCGTTCACGCCCATCTAATGCTCCTTACTTGGATCAGTCATAAATTACAACAGCTGCAGCAATGTCTGGTCTCGTAGCAGTTGATACGTAGGTGAGGTACCCAGCTATAGCTTGTTGGTAGATGCTTTTGTCACATCGTTCTTCTTCTTCTGTTTTCTTGTGAAACTTCTTTCCTGATCCTAGGGGAGTTGACATAGGCTTGCACTCTTCATTCCAAATCGTTTGAGCAAATCTTTTAAGGTACTGCCCTTGACTAATGGTCAGTGTCCTAGTAGTTCGGTCTCTTTTGATTGACATTCCAAGGATGAAGTGAATTTCTCCCAGATCAACCATTTCAAATTCTTTGCATAAGAATTCTTTCTCTCCTTTGATCATTTTAACATCATTGGATACAGGAATGATGTCATTGACATAGACTGCTAAGATGACAAAACTGATGAATCCATCATCTCTCTTGACTGTTTTCACATAAATGCACTCATGTGCGGGGCTCCTCCGATAGCCATTCGTTACCAAGAAATTGTCGAGTGTTTGATTCCAACATCTAGCTGACTGCTTGAGGGCATGCAGGCCCTTCTTTATCTTGCACACATATATAGTTAGGGTGATCTGGATCAATAAATCTTTCAGGCTGAGACACGTAAATGTCATGGTTGACTGTGCCATTCAGGAAAGCTGTCTTGACATCCATTTGATGAACTTCGAAATTATATGCATTTGCCAAGGCTAGCAGTATCCTGATACTTGTCTAGTAACAAGAGAAAACTTCTTCATAATCTACTCCTTGTGTCTGTGAATATCCCTGTGTGACGAGTCTTGCTTTGTATTGGTTGATGTTACCATCAGTGTCTCGTTTAACCTTTATAACCCATTTCAATCCCAGTATGTTAGCATCCTTTGGTGGCGGCACTAATTCCCATGTTTCATTACTGATTAATGAGCTGTATTCAGCGTCTAAGGCTTCTTTCTACTTCTTGAGTTGTTGCTGCCCAAGGCTTCTTTCAAAGATTGTGGTTCTTCATTCTCAGCAGTTAAAGATTCTGACATGAAACATTCTTCTGTATGAAATCTTTCTGGTGCTTTTCTCTGTCTGGTTAGACCAAGGCTTCTCACTGTTGCATAAAAGTATCTTCATAGGTCGCTCCCACTGAAGGTAAATTCTCCGGAGACTCTGTGGTAGTGGTTGGAATGGTGACAATTTCTAGCTCATCTCTGACATCATCAGGTTGTGTCT